GTATTTTCATCGCTCACTTGGCGGTTCTAGCACAGCCGAGGCTGAGAACCATTGCACTGAGATTTACCAGCTACTGGGCAGCTCTGTCGTCTCAAATCAGAGTCTGTGGATCAAGAGCCTGGGCATAAGTGTGTTTAAAAATGATTGTAATGAGCAGCTAGTCAAGAACTACCTACTTAAAGGGAGTAGGGAATTCTTAACCCTTCTTTTCAGGATTTAAGAACCTTGCTCATGGGGGCTTCCTCCTTGGGGCTAACTGAAAGTTCATTACAGTTTGACCTCAGTTGAGTCCCACTTCATATTCTTTCATACAACAAAGAGCTGGTCAACATAATTTTTTACTCTATGAGCTGCACAGAGCTCAGGGTACTAGAAACAAATTAAAGGAGTTCTTTTCTCAGGTTAGCCATAGAATTTGCATGGAGTCACAGGCAAAAATGTTAAATAATAATAATAATAATAATAATAATAATAATAATAATAATAATAATGAGGAGGAGGAGAAGCATCAGCTGCAGCTCGGCACTTGGCCCTCAAGAAGGGAAATGGATGCCTCTGTGACGTGACAACCCAAGCATTGTCCCCGTCCGAGCGAGGAAGTTCACTGGTTACTCAGTGGCGTCTGACTCCACTTTCTGTTTCACTGTGATCAGCGCTGTCACCTTCTAGCAGTTAGAGGGCCGGCTGGGAGCAACACCCTGAAGTGTGTACTGGGCAGTGCATGCCAAGCGAAGGAAGGGCGAGCGGCCGTGGAGGCAGGTGCCCTCCGAGACTGTCTACCTTTTGTCCTCTGTGTTGTGTAGAAAAGAGACGCTCAGCCAGTGCCTGGATTATTCCGATCATCTGAAGGTTTGATACGATGCAAACCTCTAGTTGTGACTGAATTTTCCAAGTGCTGCTTCCAGTGTCCTCACGTAGGGACCCCTTAGGCGGTATGAAAAAGTGGTTCTCAAAGAACAGTCCTCGGCCCAGCAGCGTCAACATCTTATTAAAAATTCAAAATTTGGGGGCCCCGCCTTACTGTCTCAGGACCTGTGGGGTGGCCCCAGCAATCTGTGTTTTAACAGACCCTCCAAGTAGTTCTGATACCACTAATGTTTGAGAACTCCTGACCGAGCCTGAGGAGCAGTTTATATATTATAATGCTGCCCACGGGTAGATTTATGCAGCCTTTCTAAGGTCTTTTCCATCGATTTGGGATTAAATTTTTAGTTTTGCTCTATCTCCCTCACTGTCCGTCTCGGGTGTTTGTACGTATTGTTTTTACACTCTGCCGTAGCATTTAACAGTTGCTGGAGAAAGAAACAGAAGCCAGTTCTTTTTATTTATCCCCATGTGAATAAAAATGACAATATCTGTTTTCACAAAAATTCCTTACAAGTTTACATTTTCTCTGTTATACAAACTAACAGTGAGCCTCCCTTGAGGCCACTCCCTTCTGTGATGCTGGGGAAGAGGAAACGTTGGGGCTGAGAATAATGATTAAATCACCCCTACCTTCCATGAGTAAGATGGAGAAGTCCTTTAAGATAGTGACGGTGCTGGCCAGAACCAGGACAGAAAAGACAAATGTGCAGATTGGATCGGCCATCTTATAGTCTGGCTAGAAAATACAGGGACTTCAGTTAATTGAATTCGGGCCTCTCATGTAAAAAGTCTGATTGATAAACAAAGTAAACATCCAAGCTTCCTTCACCCAGTCACCCTCCTGACACTTAACATCCGACTCAGAGGCAAGACTTCCTTCTTCTAAGTGCTCATCTCTCAGTGCCTGAAGAAGGGGAGACGCTAGGCCATGTAATTTCCCCCAAGTGAAGAAGTAAAGCGAAAAATGTCCTTGCGTGTTCTCCCAAGAGGCCTGATTCAACTTCTCTCAAATTAATAGAAGTCCAGAGTATGTGGTGAACACACACACACACTTGTACAATATTCAGTGACTTCTCAGCCTTAATTATGACGAGGAGACAGAGCGTCATCTGCTCGGAGGTCGCCTGGGACCAAGGTGCAGCTGGAGCCTGGTCTTGGCAGACTGGGTTAGTTTCTTTCTTTCGCTCTTAAGTGTGACACACACTCAAGGCAAGCATCTTTAATACAGTCCAAAGGGTACGTACTGAGGCCTCATTCTCTCCCTCTCTCACCGCTGGAGCCCTTGGCCTCAGGGTGAATCACCTGCTGTTCTGCCCTTGATGAGGTTTTGTGCCACAAAAGTTTGTGCCTCAGTGTTTCTAGGAGGCTCAGTAAGAGTAACCTTGGTAGGAACACTCTCAAACTCCAGCAACCCATACAATTTTGAACTATTTTGCCTTAAACAAAGCTTTCAGTAAGGATTTGCTCCCCTGAATTCAGACATGCCATTGTAATTTTTATGCACGTGTTTTCATTTTTTAGTAAAAATAACAGAGTCCTTGCTACCTGACAATCATGATGCTAAACGCTCCTCTCTTCCATACCCCTCTGCCTCCATGCTCACCCACCGCTGGTAGTTCTTGGTATTACCAAATAGAGATCTGTAGTGAATATTTGTTTAGGGTCAGAGGCCCACCCAGGATCTATTTTAACTTTCCATTAACACCCCGACTTTTTGGGAAGAAGTTACCTCTGCCCCATGGCGGGTGGTATTGGTAGGGCCGTCAGTCAGGTCCTCTACCATCCCCAGCCAGGTAACAGATACAAGATCCAACTTATTCTATTGGACTCCCTTTCCCAGAAGTAGAAATCTTCAGCAGAGTGACAAGAACAGGGAAAAAAAAATTAGTTGAATCACATTCATCTTAGTATGGTGCCTGGGACAGAAGTTGGATAGTTTCTGAAATGTAGGTCCCAAAAGTTGCCCTTACTTCTCCCTTAATTTCTGTACAGGAGTAGATCGTACGTCCAATAAATTTCAGCCAGTAAATCTATGTTTTGCTTAAGTCAGCTAGAGATCTTTTCTGTTGAGTGCAACCCAAGAACCCTAAGTTATTCGTGGTTCCATTTCTGTCCATCTTAACCACATGACAAAAGGAACTACTTTGTTGAAAGACCGACAGCCCTACAGTAAAAGACGTAGCTTAGGAATTTGGAAAATCTAAGATTTCAGGCTTTGAGTGTTTGTTTATTTAAACCTTGAAAAGTGATTTGTATATGCAAACAAGCTGCCCACTCTCTTTTAAGTTAATATTGGAGGGTCAGTCTCTGTACCACCTAATCTGCTTAATTTCCAAAATTACTTGGACAGTAAGTAACTCAAACATACTCACCTTAAAGTAGATAATAAGTGCACTGGTTAATACGCTAATGCTCTGAAATAGATCTCCAAGGGCGTGTACAAAGGCAGCTCTGACGCTGGCATTAGCTTGCACTTCTTTGTGATTGTGGCTGGGGCATCTCTGGTGCAAAATCACACTTAGTCTGGAAGAGAGGACAGTGTTCTCAGCACACATGAGCTTAACCCTTAAAAGCCTATGCAGCTTTAACGGAGGAGTTGACGACAGCTTGCATTATCCAAAAAGGGTGAGAGTTGAAGCATCAATGCTGTATGATGGGCTATTTTGGACTAATTTTGAAAATAAGAGTAGCATAGAATTTAAAACTTTTCACACACTGGCAGACAGTGAAGATTCACCTCAGTTTTCTCTTCCATCTACCTAATGCTACTCTGTTTCACATTAAAACTGGAAAGCATCACCTCTTAGATAAAAGCCGAGTATTTGACAATTAGGAGGGGAAATACCATTTATTGAGCGTCTACTGAATGTCAGGCACTGAGCTAGGCTTAAAGCTGAGCTTTGGTGAGAGCTTAACTAATTGTATGTTTCAAATGCAAAAAGCAGCAAAAAGGAATGAAACAAAGTAAGTGGTGAATTTCATCAAGGTTAAATTTTTTACCTTTAATTTTGTTCATTTCTATGAGAATTTGAAATTGAAATAATTTCCTAATGTCCAATGATGACAGTACCATGCTTATGTATAGGTAGCTATTTATCAAGAGACTGAAATATAGGCATTATAATATATACAGATGTTATATGTGTATATAATATGTTGCAAAATTTAACATCTCCAGTTTGAGTCAATGAGATTAGTAGTAGGCCCTATAAATTATGTACCCAATTCTATTTATCTACAACTTCAGGAGTAATACCTCTTATGTTTTGCCTTGAAATGCTTTCTGTACATTTTGGAACAAAGGTTTTTAAAAATTACTGTTCAGTAGCATGAATCCCAGTCTATTTGCAGGTAAAGTGTCTGTTAAATCTCAAGTTATCATCACAAAGTGGAGTGACTGCTGGCCACCAAAATTTGACCATTACATAATCTATTCTTTTTAGAGTGTCAGTGTTTGGGCAGAAATTCACCCTCAATTAGGAATTTCCATTCAAACTTCTTCAGACAGCCTAACATGCCTGGCAGTTAATAGGCTTTCTTTCTAGGTCTGCCATGCATGCTCATCAAATTGTCATTTATTCTTTTACTCATTTTAAATTAAAAAAAAAACTTACTTAGAGATTCTTGTATGCCAAGCACTGTTAAATGCTTGGGACATAAAGGTGAAAAGAGACATGGCCCCTCCCTACTGTAGCTCTGAGTACAATGAAGAGGGCAGAGATTTTAAAAAAACAAACTTGAATGGAAAATTCCAATTATGCTAAGTCTATTAAGACCTGGTGCTACCGATAGTGCACAGAGGAGCCTGATTTAGTTAGAGAGACAAAGCAGTGCGCTGGACTTGAAAGGTTATATTTAAATGGGCTAAGAGAGGAGGTAATGTTTCAGGCAGAGAAAACTTAGCATGCAGTACCCTTAAGGCTCTGTCAATAATCTTCATCCTAGAATCCCTTAGCAACTTCTATTAGAACTTTCTGTCCTGCTTTTGGTTTCCCAAGGAACAGATTTATTCCCAAATTACAATTCTGATATCTCTGAAGTCAGACAATACAGCATCTAGCAGCACTTGAAACCTGCAATCCCAGTTCTGGGAGAAAACATTTGTCACTTAGTATCCTTATCCATAAATAACTACCTGTTTGCACAGGGAAATCAGCGCTTTTCAATTCCCTTGTCTAAGTATGAAAAGCACTTGCAATATTAAGGTTAAAGTTCAAAAGCAGTTGCAGTAAAAAGATTTGGATGGTATCTATTTAGAAAGTCACACTTGATCATCAAGGTCCCAGATTTACGTGGTAGTTAGCTGGGAGCATCCTACATCTTCATGTAGTATCGACACAACCTGTGTGACTCAGGAAATTATTCATGTTTGTATTGTTCCTGCTGCCCTGCTGATATGTTGCTCTCCTTATGCAAAGATGATGGTATTGACCCGCAGTCAGCAGGACGGTGCTCTGGCTTATTTGTCTCCTGTAGTGATAGATTTGCATTGATCTTCCCATACTTTTTCACCCAGTGCCAATGTAAAACACATTTTTCAGGTCAACTGGGTGGAAACTGGGATCTAGTCAGCGACAGCAGATCAAATACCACTCTTCTAATTGTTTGGCTCAAAGATTCTGAGCAACAGTTTGTAAACTGAGTGGTGAGAAACTGAGTGGTGAGGAACTGAGGCAGGCACAAGGCAATGGCATGAGGGTGATTGCAGAAACGTATTCCATGCTCAGACTGTTCTCTAATTACAAATATTTCTTTGTGCCCTCTCTTAAAAAAAAAACACACTTTAAAATGCCATTCTTCTGTCACTGTCTTCTCCACTTTTGTGCATAAACCTGCCTCATCGCACACATCACACTGCATTGCAAGATACAGACAGATGATACATAGTATATGGCTTTTCTATTGCTTCCGTAACAAATCATCAACAGAGCCTGTTGAATGATGTAAATTTAGTATCTTACAGTTCTGGAGGTCGGAAGTCTAAAATGGGTGTGTAGGACTATATTCCTTCTGGAGGTTCTAGGGGAGAATTCATTTTCTTATCTTTTCCAGCTTCTAGAGGTCACTTACATTCCTTGGCTCCAAGCCCATTCCTCTACCTTCAAAGTCAGTAACGCAGCATCTTTTCTCCCCTCTGATCTCATGCCTCCTTCTTATAAGGACTTTAGTGGTTACATTGGGCCAATCTGGATTATCCAGGATAATGTCCCTATCTCGAGATCCATTGTTAACTTAATCATATTTGCAAAGTTCCTTTTACCATGTAGCTTAACATACTCAGAAATTCCAATGTTTAGGATGTGGAAATTCTTGAGGAGCCATTATTCTGTCTACCCCAGATGATAGATGATTGACAGATAGATACACAGATTTGTAGATAGATACATTGATAGATAGATAGATAGACAGACAGACAGACAGATAAGTAGAGTTGCCCCAAATCAGACTATCAAATAGGAAAGAGCAAATCAACCAAAAAGGATCAAAACCCCATTGTCATGAGCAAGCAAGTAATTTATTTGGGAAGACCAGACTGATATGGCAATGATCACATGGCCAGTAGGACATGATCACATGTCCCATAAGAATGATTAAAGACTGCCCAGATAAGAGAAGGGACCAACAGATGGAACCTAAGGAGAGAGTTTGGCTAACACAGGTTAAGGAAGAATTTTCATGCAACCATAATGATGCAAAGTTCAGATAGACGGCTTATGAGAGAAATAAATTCCCTGTTAATCTGTTAAAATATATGAAACTAATGACCATTTTATGGGGATGTTGCAAAAAGAGAATTCAAAAGTAAAAAGGGAACTAAAGTAAATAAAATTTAAAGTCCCTTCCAACCCAGTTCTCTGGGAACCCATAATGTGTTCAACAAAAACAGAGTAGGATTAAGTCACATCTCACATGGAATCATTAATTTGCATGAAAGAGTAGAATGGCCAGAAACTTAATTCTGGGTCTGGTGGATCTAGATTCAAATCCTGCTCTGTGCTACCTCGTAGGCAGTTTATTTAACCTCACTGAGCTTCAGTTTCCTAATGTGTGAAGTATGAGTGTTGTGAACATCGAGCCTGATAATGTAGATCAAAAGATCTTAATGCAGTCTCTGATGCATGGGAAGCTTTCAAAACGGTAGCCATTAGAAACCAATATTAAAACACACTTTAACTTAAACTAGCACAATCAGCCTTATTTTCAGTCTTAGAGCCATTTGAACATTCTATCAGGTCTCTACCACTGTCACAAGTGGAAGATTAAAAACAAATGATAACAATAACAACAAAAACCCATAAATCTATGTCTAGACAAGCTTCACGGGCAGTATGTGAGTGACTTACATAATGTTGGCTGCCACTGCGCAGCTTGAAATGATGATCATCATGGTTGCCTGGATCTGGTAATTGGGGTACAGCAGGCGTTCACACGCCAGGTACACCAACACACCAGTCACCACCCAGATGCATAGGATGGACAGCAGGGCACCAAGGATCTCTAGGGATTCAAGCACAGAGACACCCATACACAGAGTTTGTAAATCACCTTAACCTCCCCAAGAGTCATAAGACATTGCTGCTCTCCCCTCTCCCCCAATTGAAAAAAAGAAGCTTCACACTAGTTCTCTCAGTGATTCACAAAGCAAAAGTTTGGATGGATTTTAGCACTAAGATGAGATGCTTTGATGTTGCATTCATAAAACGCCAGCATGCGAGTTCATTATGCTCCATATTACTAAGTAATTTTCAGCAAATTTTTAAAGCATATTAACTGCTGCTTGCCCTGGCTGTTTTCCTGAGGTATTTTAATTTAAACAGGTGCTAAAATGATTGAAACTTATTAGAGATGAAATAATGAAACCCAAAAATAAAATGTGTTTAGAAACTCTTAATTTTGCCATAAAACATTTACAACCTGCCCATATTGGTGCCTCCTGTAGAATAAAACAGTAAAAAGGGAGGACTTCAGAGGCTTAATGAAAATGAGTTTCATTTGCCAACGCAACGTATTATAAACACAGAGGCAAACTCAATGGTATATTAACACTCTAACTGCATTTTACAAGCCAGCGTAAGGAAAAGAAGTATCAGAATGGAGGCATTTTCCATGAATATTTAAAGATGAGATAGTGTTCAATCTGCTGGCAGTGTCAAGTACGTTTGCTCACTTAGGAATTCTTACACCTCACCTTGATCTTTTACTCAACGTTGTGGATGGGTTCTAAAAGCCTACAATGGTCTAGAAACATTCTGTGAGCGAGTGGTCGGCCCATTCACAATTTTGACCCTCCCCCTTTTAAAGCAGAACAACATAACATATTATTTCCTAGACTTCATGATTTTTACCATATCCACATGCCACCTATTTTATGAGCCACTTAACATTCTCCTTATTTTTTAACGAGGGGTGGTTGATATATAATGTTACATGTTTTGGGTGTACAAGATAGTGATTCACAATTTTTAAAGGTTATGTTCCATTTGTAGTTATTATAAAATATTGGCTATGTTCCCTGTGTTATACAATATATCCTTGTAGACTATTTATTTTATATGTGATAGTTTGCACCTCTTAATCCCTTGCCCCTACTTTGCCCCTCCCCCCTTCCCTCTCCTCACTGGTACTCACTAGTTTGTTTTCTACTTCTATGAGTCTATTTCTATTTTGTTATATTTACTAGCTTGTTATATTTTTTAGATTCCATATATAAGTGATATCATACAGTATTTGTCTTTGTCTGACTTATTTCATTTAGCCTAATACCCTTCAAGTCCATTGATGTTGCAAATGGCAAAATTTTGTTCTTTTTCATGGCTGAGTAGTATTCCAGTGTGTGTGTGTGTGTGTGTGTGTGTGTGTATCACATTTTTATCTAGTCATCTGTTGATGGACACTTAGATTGCTTCCATATCTCAGCTATTGTAAATAATGCTGCTATGAATATTGGGGTGCATGTATTAACATTCTCTTTAAATAAACTCATTTTTATACTTAGCTTCTTCCTAAACATAGTTATCCATGAAAGTACATGTTGGATGTGCTCTTTGATCTTTACCTATATGTCTGTAGAGGTGCTGCCTAGTACGGTAGCCATCAATCACACGTGGCTATTTAAGTTTAAAGTAAGTAACAGTCAAAATCCAGTTCTTCAGTAGCACTGGCCACATTTCACTATCCATTCTACAGCATTTCCCTTGAAGCGGCGAGTTCTGTTGAACAGCACTGGTCTTCTGGTTTGTCAATGCTCACGGACTTCCGTGGCCAGGGTGAGAATGTTCAGATAGTATTTTACATTCTATGTTTACAAAATGGCTTTGACCCGTGGTATCAGAAAGGGTAGAGTACATGTGAAAATTTGTGCAGGTAAATAACAAGTGCTCAGCCAGAGGTATATGTCTTCCAAGTGTAGCACCTTTCTGGGGACTGAAAAGCATCTTCAGACCACATTGTCACCAGCTCTTTTTATTGATGTTGACTGCCATCTGTCTCTCTCTCTCTGAATGTAAAGGAAAGGCATTTCAAAGCACCCACTTTGATAAATTGTTTGGTATGAAATTAGAATTTCCTGTTATTCTAAGCTTGAAAAACTACAGTCTTCAGTTGTCAGTCTTCAAACCATGGTCTGTGTTGAGCAGCACCTTTCGGTGAAGGCTGGAGTGTTAGCATGTTGGCCAGAGCTCTACCCTCCGACCTCCTTCACATTGATTTTTCTCAACCAGGATGAAAACATGGAATTGTAACTCTTTGTTCACATGATTTGCACATTCATCCAGAAGCTCCTCCAGCTGATTTGAGGAATAATACAGAGGAGGAGAAGCGGACTGGCGGTGTGTGTGTTGGAATGAGGAGTGGATCGTAAAAATGAGCCAAAGTAAAAATTTCCCAGAGAGTAAACCCTCATCATACTTGGGGCCCTTCCTACAAAGAGTAAGTAGTCACTCTGTGAAAGAACCAGCTCGAAGAAAAGAGGAAAAGTCAACTTTCATTCCCTCCTCTTCCCATTCCTCCTCCTTTTCTTGTTGTTGATGGCTGATTGAACATGGTATCCAGCCAAGCCATTCACTGAATGGCCTAATGCTGCATGAGCAGTGAGATCCAAATTCTACTCCCCCCCCTCCCTGATCAGAAGCTCTTCAATCTCTCCAACTCTCTTGGGCTCTCTGTGCCTTACTTTGCAAAATGGCGGAAGCTTTACCCTGCCCTCTCTCTCAGATGCAGAGTAATTTCGTGAATAATATCATGGCTGTTACCATATACTGAGATTCTCGAGCTGGGATGATTGGTAAAATGCTGTGTGTGTTCCTGTTGTCCCGTTGGAGTAGAGGTAATGCCATTAATCTGCTGTTAGCTGAATTAGCATTGAGAACCCACATTCCCACATTCACATCTATTTTACTCTGTGCATCAGAGATGTGCCTCTAAGGGATTTTCACACAGGGCTTTGTTTTGTCTCTTCCATTTTTATCCTTGGTTTGACTCTGCAGCACTACTCCATGCTAATGCTCAGTTGATGTACTGTACCTGCTCGGTGCCATCCAAATGTTAGCCGCTTGGAGGGGGGCTTCGACGACAGCCACAAGGAGAAGAGACTGAGCAGGAAACCGGTCAGGTCAATTAACAGATGGGCAGCGTCTGTGAGGACAGCGAGACTCCCAGCAATGCGCCCACCTAGGGGGTGCAGAGTGGTAACGGGATTAAGGCCCCAGAGTGCAACTTGATTCACTTGCGTATTCACCAGGGTTGGTGGACATGCCACAGACTCACAGAACTGAAGACGAGAAAGGGTCTTAACGTTGACTTAACCCACCTCTTTTCCCCAAGTTGACAAATACAGAAACAGACACAGAGAGTGGGTAGGATTTGAACACGTAGAAATGAATTGCACAAGAGAGGCTCTTCCAAGGAGAACTAAGGGACAGAGATTAGGAAGTGTGGGGGCACATTTGAAGAACATCCCAGTTAGACTGAGGCATAAGGATTCAAAAAGGGGAATACAGAAAGATGAGGCTGGAGAGGTAAAAGCCAGGATGGAAAGGCTCTCCAGGCTGAGGACGCAGGATTTGCCCATAAACCAGGTGGCACAGTCTGGCCCACTGATGTACTTTTATTTGACTTGTAATTTTACCATAGTCTTTACCACTTCCTTCTGCTCCACTTATGTTGTCCACCTGGGTCTGAGATCCTGTTACGAATAGGGGGCAGCAGTAAGGAGGGCAGGCGCCTTCCAGTGAGATTCTTGAATGCAGCGACAATCCAATAAAGCATAGGAAGAGAACCCGAGCCATGGGAGACCTGCTGTGTTTTTCTCTCCATTTGCCGTGTTCCCTCTACTTCTGTCTATTTCTCCTTTGAGAAAAGACCTCCAACCTCCAAAATAGAAGTTAAAGGACAACCTTGTCTTTTCCTTCTCAAGCAGGGCTTGCTGTTTGGGAGCAGTAACAGTTACTGCTCTTACTCCGTCTTCCCAGCAGAGAGCCTCTGCTGACTGATGCGTCCTCCCCAGAGCTGTTTATTGCCTTGTGTGCTGCACAGCGATGGGGAGTGTCACTCGTCAGCCCCCCGTCATCAGGCTCACCTTGTCTCAACTAATGATTAAAAAGAATTACATATAAGGTCCATAATTGCAATAATGCCCGCAGATCACTGGCGCTCGCTGTGGTTAATAACTGATTTGTCAAAGTTTAATGGTCTGAAGCAAAGCAGTCTTCAAGCTTGTTACTGAGCTGTCAGTGCAAAAATCGAAATGATTCATTAGCCAAAAAGCAACATTTTGCTAACAAATCAGCTGTCCTTCCAATTATCCTCTAATGTTGCTCTATCTGCCAAACTCGGGCCTGAGAATAAAGCTGTGTTAATAATGCATTATTTCTTGCCCAGGAAATGACTCCATGCAGATAAGCAGCATGCTGCCATCTTCGCGCTGAAGGATGGTGAGGATTCTGTGGGCTGGGCTAAAACTGTGCTCGAGTCAAGGAATCGAAGTCCTATAAGGGTCCTTCACCAGGCTCAGCCGAGTCAGGAGGTGACTGAGAAAGAGAAAGGGCTTGCTTTGGAAAAAGCATGTCTATATGGAGACCTGGGGGCTGAGAACCGTTTTGCAACCGTCCGATCTACTTATGAGAACAATCTAGAAAACCGTGGGCAATCACGCTGAATCCTACGGAGCAAATGGTTTTAAGAGGTAGTTTGTGAGTGAACTTGCATTTACTTCTGAAAGCATGGGGTATTATTGACAATTAATCCCATCATCCAGCTGGGATTTATTGAGCCCTCACTGTGCACCGTGCAGGGATGGGTATGCAAAGATAAACAAAGTTAAACAAACTGCAGTCCCTCTCTTCAGTGATCTCATTGTCTAGCACTCCCCGTACGGAAGACATGCAGAATGGGCCAGGGAATCAGAAAGCCACTCTTGCTGGGAGCACGAGAGAGGAGTAAGAGTTAGCTAGAGAAGGAGGATTTCTCAGGAAGAAATAAGAGCAGGAACAAAAACAGAGAGAAATGAAAGAACACGGCACTTTTGGGGGAAAGTAGGAGGTGTGGAGTTTTGGAGAAATAATAGGAAACGAGACTGGAAAGGTGGCTTGGGGACCCTTGTGTAGGGTGTTAGACATCATGCAAAAGGATTTGAACATTATCCTAGAGGATAAAGGAATCTATTTAAGACTCTAAGGCAAGGTCGTGACATGTTCTGATTTGTATTTAAGGGAGAGATCTTTGCCAGCTATAGGGAGGATGGTTCTGAGCGAGGAGAAGCTGGAGAGCAAGGCATTGGGAACAGCCAAAGGAAACTGTGAATGAAGCCATGAAATAAGACAGTAACAGTCACAGTTCTCGTTACTTGGGAAAGCGTGGAGAGGGATGCACTTACAGCAAGGTAGGAGAGGCACTAAGGACAAGTCCTGGAAATAGACTCTTCTCGGGGCCTGTGGGGTGAAGATGACAGCAGGAAGGGGGCCCCTTGGACCTGGGGCTCATGGTCACCTCAGCTTTGGAGAGCTGGTATTAAGTGCATGGGACATTTTCTGTGGAGAACAGACACATGCTGCCAGGATTGAGAAAAGTAGGTGTTCCTCTGCCAGCAGTGTCTTGTGTCCCATTACTGGACTACCCCAGGGTATGCTATTAATTTGCTTTTTAAAAATTCCAGAGTTGTTTCATGAATAACATTTCTATACCCTATAACGTGCCATGTCAAAAACTCATGGAGTTGTTTGTCAACAATCATTTAAAACACCACAGTTTGCATTGGTATGTTTTGACCTTTGTCCATTTTTAATACCAGGAACCTCAAAAAATAGAAGTAGCCTAAGCCACTGAGAAACCCTGGCTTTAGGGCAAAATTCATACCCTTATAGTACAGCTTGTGGTTATCCCACTGCCCAGCTGTAGCTTTCTCTGACTCAAGAGAGAATTAGTTTTACTCTGAGATACTTAGCATCTTCCCAGCCTGCCCCCAGCCCTGCTTTCCCACATAGCAACCTGGTGCTTCCTCCATCCTTGCTTAGCTCTGAATAGTCCTGCTTCAGGATGTCTTCCACTGACCACTCTCATTTTCTTCCAGAAATGGCCATACTTGAGCTTATTTTGTGAGTTCTCAGTGTCCGTATGTCTGTCCTCTTAGAGAGGGATGCATATTTACATATGCAGTGTAGCTCCTCTCTAGGGCCTTTCTACAATTAGGAATTTGCACAAGCAATCAGAAAATGTCCCAACCCAGTAGGCACACATTGAGGCTTACAGCCTTCTCTAATTCCGTCCTCCTCTCTGCTCTGCACCCTGTGGAGAATTCTCTCTCTAAACACAGCTCTCTGACCTGGTTCTTTTCTATTATATATGTCAGTTACTCCCCAAGGCCTACAGAATAAATCCGGATTCCCCAGCCACGCCTCACAGTCCTTCTAGAACCCTCAGCCACCATTCTAGTTTTATTCTCCACTAACCGTGTTTTACCCCACACCACTGCCTTAGGTTCTTTCAGCTGTAAGTCATAAATGCCCAGCAAAAACTAGCTTAAATGGCAGGAAAATGATAATTTATTGGCTCAAATAACAGAGCAAATCTGGGTAGGTACAGCGTAATCCTAAGGTTTAAAAGATGTTGCTGGAGCTCTGCTCTGTCTCCAACTATTGCTATTAATTTTCCTTCTGAAGACAGACTTCCTCCTCCTCTTTAAGAAAGGCCTCTGGAAGCTCTGGGTTTAAATCATTGCAGCATAGTATTTTAAAGAAAAGAGGGAGTATTTTTCCCCCAGCCTCCCTATATAAAGATCCAGGCAGGTAATCCAGTTTGGCATCTCACACCAGGCCATGCTAATGACCATAAGGCATGTGGGCCAGGAGGATCAGAACTGCGACCCGCATAAACTCCAAACAGTGGCACCCAGATGTGGCTACACATCAGAATTACTTGAATTACTTTCAGATTTCCTGTCCTGTTGCAGACCTAGCCACTCAAATACTTTCCAGGCAAGGCTGATTTTCACTACCTCCTGGACCACATTGAAGCCCCTCCATCTGAAAGGCCCTTCTCATCTCCCTCTTAGCAACCTCTCAATTCCTACTCATCCTTCAAGGCTTTGCCCAAATCCCATGTCCTGCAGGAGGACCTCTCAGATTCCCCAAAGTGATCTGAGAATAATAATTGCCTGCATGGTCAAAAATGGCTTTAGGGAGGACTTGAGCTATGGGTTGGGGTCTTGAATGATGGTCAGGGCTTTGATGAGTATGGGGAATGGGAGGGTGTTTGCATATAAATCAAAAGGCATAAGCAAAAGCGACAGAGGCCATAAGGTGCAATGATTATTTTGCATTGAATGGAATAAACAGTTGAAACAGAATTTGAGTCAAGTAGGGAAGTAGTAAAGGAAAAAGATTGATAGTTGATTTGGCAGCCAGATGGTGGAATAACTTGAAAGCCAAAGTAAGAATTTTTCATTTTGTCCAGGACAGCAGAGCTTTCCAATATATTGATCTCTTTTCACTTGGGGCAGCCAAGTGGGGCCTAGCACAGAGAAGGTCCCTGGACCAGCCTCTTTCTGCTACCAGCATACTTGTCAGCTTACCCCTGCGCCCAGTAAAATTTCCTATGCTGGCTACGATGGGGAAGAGGTTGTGAAGCACTGAGCTAGGCAAAGGTGAACTGCTGAGGAATTCTGAAGACACAATGAACATGATGACAGCAATGTTTTAGGGAGATAGCTCAATATCAATACAGCTCCATTTCCAAATGATTTTCTGTAGCTCTGTTTAATTCCTTTCCTGACAATATCACTTTCTTCTGACTCTTAAAGTCAGTTTATATATGTATTTAAAGACTCCATAGCTGGAATAAACCAATTAATTTTGATTGCTTGCTATTACAGTACAAAAGTATAGCTTAGCAGATTCTCCTTCAATCTCAGATTATTCTTAATCTGTCACTCTTTTGGGGTAATAAAAAGAAAATGAAACCAAAATATTGGTAACAGAGTATAGCAAGTAATAGTGGCAAGAGTGGTGCTATATGCCCAGGAGCTCACAATGTTCTTTTTTATTTTTTTGGTTAAAATCAATTACAACTAAGATAACACTGCGTAACAAGTCCTTCAGATTAAATTCATAGCTGTACATAGTTTTATCTGTAGTAAAAAGAAAGGATACAAATATATTAAATAAAGATGTAATTGAAGATATTGAAGTATGTGTTATCACTACAGCTCTAACAAAAGAAAGTTAGAGGAAGTAAAAACATTTCTTAAAGCCAAAATTATGAATTAGAAACAAGAAAAATTTAAATAATACTATATTCCAGAAAATATATAATATAATATATGAATAAAATAAATAAGTATCTACCAAGTTAAATCAAGTTCATGCAAAAATATATAAACAATATTAAAATGAGAAAGGAGCCAGAATAAATAAGAGGAGACTACCTGTCTGAGACTATCACGTTCCATTGTATGATAATAAATTTGACAATTTCAGTGAGATGAATGACTTTGGAAATTTATAAATAACCAAAATTTACTCAAAAGGTAGAAATTTTGAGTATGTCCATGAATGAAAAAGCTAAAAAATATCAAAAGATTATATCCAAGAATGTCTCTGAAGCCAGACAATTTACCAAGGAGTTCTTAAAAAGAAGAATAATTACAATGTGTAATGAACTATTTTAGTTTTTTTAAGAAAAAGGAAATTGCAAAAACTAAACATTTCATTTTAATATACATAACTCTGATTCAAAAACCTAGAAAAATCACTCCAAAACAGAAAACTCTAGTTAAATTTCAGTGATCGAAAAAGTTATAAAAATCCTAACAAAAATATTAGTGACTCAAATTAAGCAATGCATTGAAAGACTGGCCAAACACAGCCAAGCTGGGAGGCACCACAGTGAGAACCTAAGACCAGCTCTGGAAATCAGACCGCCTGCCCACTTACAGGGATGTAACTGAAGCAGAGCGCTTTACTTTTTATGCCTCAGGTTTCTGGTCTATAAAGTGCAATTCATAATGAGACCTACCTCTCAGGAATTTCATCAGAATGTAGTAAAGTGATACATGGAAACCACTCATCACAGTTTCCGGTACATAATAAGCATTAAATAAATATTAGCTGTTGTCATCATAACGTCAGAAATGCATCATAATCTCTTAATATACATATCAACGATGGGTCAAAAAGTTTAAAATAGAATGAATTTAAAAGGTTTTTGATAAAAATCAACAGTCATCCTTGATTATTTGTTAACCACTAAAAAACTAGAACAAGGAGAATACTTCATTAGCATAATAAATATATTTAACCCCTCAGGACAGCTAAATAATTGAACATATGATTTGATTTAGCATCTTATTTAAGATGATAAAAATATGAAAAATATGAGATATAACTATTGAAAGCAATAAGAAATGTAAATTTTTGGTATAAGAGAGTTATCTCCTGGCATAGGAGGGATGAGAGAGGAGCAAGGAAAATTAACTGAGCTGCACTTGCAATGACAATAGTTCACATACAATGTTGAGTACCAAATGAATATACAAAATGGAAACTTTCCAAAATACAAAAAGTAACCATCTAGAAAACAAGACATGAGAAAAGAAAGACCCCACTCACCTCTGGAAAGAATAAGATAAACACATGACATAACTATAAGTAACTCTAGCAAGAAATGGATTGTCCCTGTATTAAAACAAACAACCTAAAAGCACAAAACCTTGTTGACAGATGTACAGTATTTGGATAAATGGAGAAACATACTATATTCCTGGAAGGGAAAACTGAGTATTTTAAGGAGATTTGTGTTTCTAAATTAATTTATATACCAATAAAATCATAATTAGATTTTGGAGGAAACTGAGCAAAATGATTCTCACGTTTAATTAGAATAATAAACTGGAAGGAACAGCCTTTACCTTTTTTTCTGTTAAGCTAAGCATAATGAGGAGAGAACAATAGATATTATAACATGTAAATATACATTAATTAAACGTATTACTACTGACAGAGACCAGCAACACAGATCAATAAAAACACTTTAGAATCTAACCCTATTATTTATAAAAACTTGATAAATGATAAAACTAACATGGAGAAAAATCAATGGAGGAAATAATTAATTATTCCATAAATGATGCTGAAATCTTGTTAGCTATTTTGAAGGAGAATTTTCAATTCTTAGAGCATATATAATTTAACATTGACTTGAAATTAATTGTAAAGAACTGAACAACAACAAAATGATAATTATCTTCTCAGTAGACAGAGAAGGCTTACTAAGCATTAAATAGTAAAAGAGTAGTAAAAGAAATCAACTCAAAATGAAATGTTTGATAGAATTACCTATATAAAGTTTGAAACTTCTCTAAGTCAAACCAAAAATTGAACAAAAATTTTAAAATAAACAATAAACTAGAATAGTATCTATATACAAATTTAACAAAGGTTAATATCCTAACTATATAAAGAGCTCCCAGTGATCAATATAGAGAATTACAAATTGTTCAAAAAAACAAGTGAGCAATAAATATTAAAAGGCAAATAGGAAACATGTTAACAGAAATACAGATCTCTAATAAGCATGCAAGTAGTATTCTAACAGTAACAATCAAAGGAATGTGTATGAAAGTAAAGCATATTCATCTTTACATTAACAAAGATTTTTAAAAGATGAAAATAAGTTTGGAGAGAGAATCACCCTCTTTGTGAAGCTGGCAGACATAGGAATTTTCAAGCTTTCTGGATAGCAGTTTGGCATGTGCATAAAGAAGGAATAAAAATATTCATGTCCTTTAACCAATTATTTCCACTTATAAGAATCTCTTTGAAGAGATTAACCAGAAAAGCAGGCAGAGTTTTATTCAAGATTTTTCATTGCAGCATTGCCCATAAGCAGGAAAAACTCTAAATTTCTAACAATAGAAAGATGGTTATGTAAATCACAGTGGAGCGTATTATAGAATATTGTTCAGGCATAAAACTCTTTTTAAAGAGTATTTGATGGCCTGGCCAAAAGCGTTCAGTATGCTCTCAATTATGTTTAAAAAAAAAAACCTTGTGAGCTATGAATAGAAAATATATTGTACAAAAATACTTCATAGTGTTATTGGAGATTATCACTCAAATGGAGGAATTATGACAAATTTTATTTTGTTTCCTTCTATTTTCCAACTTATCTACAATGAGCATATTGTTCCTATATATATACAGAAAATACTCAATCGTTTTTTAAAAAGAAGTTAGGTAACCCTCCCATAACAATGCAAGGTTTTGTTGGTTTGCTTGTTTAATCAGAGAAGTGTTGAGAAATACTCACCCACAACCTCTGCAATCATGAAAAAGAAGCATATTCCTGAAGCAGCACAGAGTTTCCACTTGGCTTGGACTTGCTCCTTCGCCCTGTTCCCCGTGGCCTTGGAGTTGCTGTGGCAGTGATGGATAGCTCCTGATTCCCGCTCCTCTGGCTTCTCTCCAGGATGTTGATCTTTATTCAAGGGTTTCTGCTGGAGTTCCACGCTGTGGATGAGTTTGACAGAAGCAAGACATGAACGCGGTTGCAAACCAGCGTCCCACTGACAGCCCTTTCCATTCTCAGAACTGCGAGGAGGGCATTTGCTGACTAGCTAGGACCCTACCAGACCCAGCTCCTTCTACAAGAAGTATTAAGTATAAGGAGCAAGCAAGACGTTTCCTTCTGAATTCTCAACTACTAAAAAATTTTGCTCCTACTCAATCAAGCTCTTATTCAGTCCGTACAACCAGTGATTAAGAGATGGCAAAGGAAAAGGAGAAAGTTGGCAGATACACTTTGGTGCATTTCCTTCCCCGTTACTTCACTTTGAAAAGATTCTGGACACTGTGCTACAAGTTAAAATGGGGGCAGTAATGAGGTTGTTATTATCAATGAGTAATGTGTGTATGAGCCAGCCTGGTGCTTCAGATACTCACTACTGGATGCCATCACTCTCCCTTTCTTCTCCACAGCAACACTGCTAATAGATCTTAGCACTTTTTCCCTGCTGAGTCCACATGGACCCTGAGAAACCTTCTTAACACAGCTTTGCGGAAATCTCAACCAATCTATCAGAGTTGTAATGAGAGTTAAACCTACTTATACTTCCAAAAGCAGGCAGTGGATGTCAGTTCTGTTCAAATATAAAACATTGTTAGAGCCATTTATAGAAATAAAGAATTTCACAGATGGAAGGATTGTAGATAATATTTAGTCCAACCCCATGGTTTCCTACCTGAAGTATTTAAGGTTCAGAGAGGTGAAGTAATTGCCTGAGGTCAAATAGCCAGGAGATGGCAGAGCTGGGATTCCAGGCCTAGTGTTTTTCCGCTATGGCCACGTTGCGTCCCTACCTAAACGTCAGTATACCAAAAACCAATTTTTACTGATGCAATGATAGTGAACTACTCAGATTTGTATTTTTAAATAAACGTGTTAGAAGACAGTAATATGATTCTTAGAATTAGCAATTTTGCATTCATGGCTTTAAAAGATACAAAAAGGAAACAAATTAGCCTCCACTTGAAGAGTTACATCATTTGTCTTAATCACCATCTAGAAAAAGAACTGATAGATTTGGCTTAAATGATGATTATTATTACAACTCTAACTATCATAATATTGGTTTTTTTTCCTGAATAAAATGACATATATTCATTATAGAAAATCGGAAATTACAGAGAAGCACAAAGCAGAGAGAACTCTGAGAGACAACTGTCACTGATGGCTTGTTTAGCTTTGTAACATATAAACCTACTTTTTAAACTTAGAGTCCATATTAATTAGGATGTTTTTGATTGCAAGTACAGGAAACAAAGCTCGTGCTGAATAAATTAAAAAATGGGAATTGATGGTTCTGCAAGTGAAAATATCTTGAGGTATCAGCTTCAGCCTGGTTTATCGAAGCTCCAAGGCCATTGCCCTGCAGTTCTCAACAGCTCTGCAGCCTTATGCTGGTTGTCCTTGTGCAGTGGGATGAAAATCAGAGCTATGTATTTGGTTTTTTCTGTACAAGAAGAGAGAGAGTGGTCATTCTCCCAAGTGGTAAACAAGAGTCCTGAGTTACATGCTGATTTGGCCAACCTCTCTAGCCAGGGGAATGTGGATGGGTGAATTGGCATAGACCTTGTTACAGTCAGAGATGGGCTAAACCCCACCACATTGATCCTGGAGCTGAGAGTGGGTTAAGTGCTACCCACATCACATGGCTGCAACTCAGTGGGGATGGGTGGAATGGATTGTGGATGAAATGACAGTGTCACTATAGGATTCTACCAAAGACCCAGCTTTGGAATCTAATTTTTAGCTGTATGTTTTGTTAGCATTTCCTCAATTTATTAAATATTCTACATCATTATTTTAACATATAGGGAGCATTATATTTAGTATAGATATGTCACACATTTAGTATAGATATTCAGTATTTTCTGTTATTGAACAATTGACTTTTTTCTAGGTATTTGCTTATATAAACACCACTGTGATTCATATCCTTAATCTTTGCTCAGTATCTTATTTACTTAGAATGTAATCCTGAAAGAGAAATTACTTGGTTAAGGATTATCTATATTTTTAAGGATTTTTATGTATATTGCTAAATTGGCCTCAGATTGTTTTTACCAATGATGTTAAGAGCACTCAGGATTTTGAGCAGTTCCAAATAATCTTCATATTAGAATAAGAACCATTTGGCAAGAAGCACATTGGGTAATTATACCTATAAATTTTCACCTTTGTCATGTGATATATACCCTGATAATAAACAACCATATAATGGAGTGGTGTTGGTCACCAATGACCATCGACTCAGAGGAGCTGGAGATCTGATAAGAAAGGATGGTGGTTTCCTTTCTTCTTGTGCCGAGAAGGACAGGGTCTCCAAGTGTTCTGGCGTTGTTCATATAACCAGTGGTTTACTGTGGTCACATGAAGCTTTACTCTGTTTTCTATTTTTCATGAATCTCATGGGCAGAGAAAACCAAGTAGTAAGCAACTAGTAGAGAGAACTTACCCTGGAGCAGTTTAGAAGGCAGACCAAGGCAGGAATCCCACCAGGGGCACAGCCTATAGGCAATGCCACAAGAGGAAAAGTGCAAGAAACCTGGCCAATTTTTATTCTTAAATTCTGCTACCGTGTCCTAGACCTAAGAGTAACCAACATGGATACACTCTGAGCCAAGACTATTCCTTGAAGCACTCTCTGAGCCGAGATTTTTCCTTGAAGCACTAAGCCAGAAATCCAAAAAGCAGGACTGAAATTGGATGCAGTGTGTTCATAGGTGAGTTTTAGGGGAAGAGGCAGGAGTCCCCCATCTTCACTGGGCTCCCCAAAGGGTCTGTGATTCAAAAAGAAGTTAAAAACCGAAGTTGAAATATATTCCTTGTCATCTCATAAGAGCAAAGTGGTCTAAGTGTCTCTAGATGCAATACAGGCTCTTGATCTGAAAAGTGATGCAAATTCTGGGACGAATTTTAAAAAGAAGGTTCTGAAAAACAAATGCTAGAATGCTTCAAACATGAAATGTGATTTACTGTCAAAGAATAAATCACCAGATTCCCATGCATTCAAACACGGTCAGGGCTTTGAAAAGCAGGAACAATAGGCCAGAGCAAAGAAACTTACTGTACTATCAGCGAGGAAAAAAAGGGAGGGAGAAACAGAGAAGAAAAATAGGGAAATATTAGAAAATTTGATGTCAGTAGCCTAGAACTTTGAGTTCATCTCTTAAAATAAGAATTAGAAAATGGAGCTTTATTTTGTAATCTTGGAGAAGAATTTATTTTATTTTTAGTTTGCATCTTAGTTTTGTTTGGTGGTAGAAGTCAAAACCCTTTGTTTCTATGTCTGATTTTTATTTCCAAATACTGCTCCATTGTATGAATATACAACATTTGATGGACATTTAGGTTACTTACATTTCTCAGCTATTATGAATCATGCTGTTTGAAAATTTATATACAAGGTTTTGTGGAAGTATGTTTTCATTTCTGTTGTTTTCCTATCTGTGAAACATTGATCTCATAGACTGAGTTGAAGAATGCTCACTTTTCTTTTATGTTCTGGAAGAACTGATATTAATTCTAGTTTACATATTTGGTAGAAATCATTAGTGAGACAATTTGGCTTGGGATTTTCTTTGTGTGAAGTTTTTTATTTTTTAATTAAATCTCTTATTGTAGGTCTGCTCAGATTTTCAATATTTTCTCTTGAGTTAGTTTGGAAGTTGATATCTGTGAATTTTCCATTTCATCTAAGATTATGGATTTTACTGTATACAATTTATCTTTAAATCAGCTAAAGAAAAGAGAAGGGTAAACATGCTGTCTTTTATAATTACCTACATAGTTACCTTTACTGGTGCTATTTGGTTTTTGTGTGTTGATTCAAGTTAATGTCTGGTGTCATTTGTTTTACGCCTGAAAATTTTCCTTTACTATTACTTGTAAGGTGAGTCTGCTAGCAAAAAGTTCTCTCAGTTTTTGACTATTAGGGAATTTCTTTATTTCACCTTCATTTTAGAAAAATGGTTCTGCTGGGTAAAAGTTGGTTGGCAAGGTCGATTGGTTTCTTCCTTCAGCACCTTGAGTATGTTATCCCGTTGCCTTCCAGCCTCCCTTGTTTCTGATAGAAGTCAGCTCTTAATCTTACTGAGAAACTCTTGTTCATCATGGATATTTTTTTTTCTCTTACAGCTTTCAAGATTTTCTCTGTGTGTTTTGCTTTTAATATTTTGACCATGATCTGTCAAGAGTGTAGATCTGTTTGCCTTGATTCTTGTTAGAGTTTGTTGACTATCATGGATGTATAAGTTAATAGTTTCACCAAATTTTGGAAATTTTCAGCCATTGTTCCTTTGAATATTTTTCTGCTCCTTCTCCCCTTCCTGTCTTTCTGGTACTTCCATTATATGTATGTGAGGACATCTAATTATGTACCACATTTCTCTGAGGCTCTGTTATTTTTCATCCGTTCCTTTTTCCTTCTGTTGTTTATGTTGCATGATATCCATGGATCTATCTTCATATTCATTGATCCTTCCTTCTGCCAGCTCATATCTACTGCAGAGTCCCTTTGTTTCACTTATTGTGCTTTTCAACTTCAGAATTTGGTTTTTTTAAAATGCTTTCTATTTTTACTAATACTCTCTCTTTGATGAGGCATTGTCATTGTGCCTATCTTTAATTCTTTCAACATGATTTTCTTTAATTCTTTGAACCTATTTATTATAGCTTCTTTAAAATCTTTGAATGCTAAGTCCAACATCTGAGCCATCTCAAGACAGTTTCCTATTACTTGCTCTTTTTACTGCTTGTTGATTATTCTTTCCTGTTTCTTTGCATGTCTTGTCATATTTTGCTGGGAACTGTATGTTTTAGATAATATATTGTAGCAGTTCTGGATGCTGATCCCCAATGGGCTTGTTATTGTTGCTCCTTACTTGTTTGCTTTTTTATTTGTTTAGTGAATTGGCTTGTGTAGTTCAATGGAGTATTTCCTTTGACTTTCCCTGCTTCTGCAGCCTCTGTTGTCATTCCTCAGAGTGCAGCCTCGGGCATGTGCATAGTCATCCTTACTTGCCCCCCACCCCCTTGCCCAGGGATGGTGATCATTTTAATCATGTTTGCTTTGACTGTCTCTTTCCATGGTATCACTCTTAAGCTTCTGGCTGCTCTGCCTGTATTGGTATCACACCCAGCTGTTGTCCTCAATCACTTGTTGAATACGCTAATATTTTCAGCAGTACCCTGAGGCATAAATTACTCTACAATTCGACCCAGTTAAAGTTGAACTCTGTATTAGTCTGCTTAAGCTTCTATGATACTATAGACTGCGTAGCTTTAACAACAGAAATGTATTTTTCCATAGTTCTGAAAGCTAGAAATTCATGATTAAGGGCTGAAAATTTTGGTTTCCGGTGAGCTCTCTCTTCCTGGCTTGTAGATGGCTGTCCTCTTGTTACACATCTCTTCTCTCTTTAATAAAGGTATCAGTTCTATCATATCAGAGCTCCACCCTAATTACAGCATTTAATCTTGATCACCTCTTTAAAGGTCATGTCACTGATACAGTCACATGGGAATTAGAGCTTTAGCATATGAATTGTGGGATAACAAAAACATTCCGTCTATAAGAGCCTTCTTTACAGAGGTAGTATTTGAGGCTAATCTTTTGGTTATGCCAACTCCAGGAGGGCTCTTTTTACCTCTGTCTTTCCCTGGCTGTCTCTGTTAAACTTCTAGCTGGTCTACCTTTTAGATTGTTGCTCTGATGAAGCAACTAGTCTACTCTTGATTGCTTAACAGCAAAATCTTCATTGTTTTTCACAGTGCCTTTATGCTTGAAATACCCCATATTCTGCTCCAAATAAACTTTTCACTGATATATCATCAGTCCTCTAATGGAGAGATACTCTCTGTTCTTACAGCCTGCTTCTCCCGTGTGTAGAACCTCTGCATCACTGCACCAAAACTGAAAGAAGGAACAGTGACCCACTTATCCTGGAATGATCCCTCTGCTCTGTAAGTGGGTGCTGAAGAACCTCACACTATGTGTGAGCTAGGGCAGGGATGTTCAGGACCTAACTGCTCCTAGACTATGACTAGGGATTGGGTGAAAAGGGGGACCATGTCTTCATTGGATAAAGGTTCTACAGTGTGGAGCTGCGGCAATGAGAGATTTCAACAGCCTTTTCTCTAGGGGTAAACGGTAGCCCTCAGTTGGGAGCTGAGGGGAGAGTGAGTCCTGTTTTTTGGCCACATCTTCCCAGAGTAGAACATCCATCACAACAAGCTTGGAGGAGAAGGAGGTTAGTGGAGCAAGTGGCTCAAATGCCACAGACTCTCATTTCTTACTGAGATTTGGTAGATTTTCTTGAATAAACAGTTCTAAATCTGCTGTATGCCCTTAAGACAATTTCCAGGGACTAAACTGTTAAGAGTTTTTTTTTAAATATAATTTTTATCAGTAAAATGGTTGTTTCACTAGGGAAGGAAGTCGACTGAGCTCCTCACACCACCATTCCAGAAGTCCTGCCATTCTACACACACACACACACACACACACACACTCACACACACACACACACTCACACACTCACACACTTTGAGGCTTCACATTGAAAAGATTCCAGTCATCTGTTTCTGCCATCTGGCCCTGCTGTCACATTCCCTGCCCTGCTCTGACATATGACTTGGGAAAAAGAGAAGCTTATTCCCAGCACCAAGAAAACCCTGCTGAGTGTGCAGGTCAGCTTTCTACAAAGCTTTCTACAAAGGTCAGGTTTATGTGGAGCCCCAAAGGTTAGGGCTCATAGTAGCAAATGGATATGGAAATTGAGGGGAAGAGATACATGAAAACAGTAGTGTCCATAGCACCCACAGGGCCCAATATAACTACTTCTTGTGGAAAAATATCTCTAAAGACAATGTTCAACAATTCCTGTCATGCTCTATGTATATGCCAGCAAGAGGATGATGTTTTCTATGAAAGAGATAGAGCAAAATACATGAGAAAGGAGATTGGGAGAGGTGAGGAAAAGAGGTGAATTAGTGAGGGAATCAAGGTACGTATGACCTCAGGACAATAGATTAGGGACCCAGAAGGCCACTTGGTGAAAGCGTGTTTGCAGGAGAGGTGGTGGCTGGGGGTTGAGAGAACAAAATTCAGGAACAGAGGGCATAGGTCTACATCCCAACACTGCTGTAATTAGACATCCAACTTTATGAATGACATTCATTCTCTCTGGAATTCAGTTTCCTAACTGGTAAAATGAGGAATCAAGATAAATAATTTCATCAAGGTTCAATTGTTCTTATTTAGAAAAGAAAATAAAAATTAGTTCTACAGTTTTTATCATCACCATGTCCTGAAAACCATACCCATTTATGACATGAATAAGACCCTGTGACCATAAACAGCTGTCTTTGTTTGCATAACAGGGTGCTAATGGTCTATTTTAATGAGAAGAGAAGTACGATTATTTTAATAATGTAGAGATGCTCTATTAATAGTGTCCATAGTGTTATCAGTCTGTGGTTCAAATTTTCTGCCTGACCTAACATGAGGCTTTGCTTTTTATGATCTCAGTAAATCACATCTCATATTATTTTCTAAGAAAAACAATTCTTACAACATGAGATAATAGATGTGCTAGACTCTTTGTCATATATATTTTTAAGCAAAGTTACAAATATCCTAAGGAAAAGTCTCTTTGCAGTCACTCAGACATTTGATGCTATCAAACACAATGTCACCACTCTTTGGAATATTGATTTGGTTTCAGGAAACAAAAACATTATACATATTATTAATGGGTAAATATTCTCTTATTCTTCTCCTAACATGAATTTATTTCAGATTTTCATTCATTTAATCTATGCATACTGTTTGTTTTTCTTTGCATGCCACTCTGATTGAATTCCCCAAGTGCACCAAAATCTTATTCCTAAATGTTTCTTTTTTTTACCAGGAACTTACTTAGTCAGGAAAACTTTCCCTAGCCCTACTTCCTATGAAGGGTTTCCCTAACCTTACTCTAACTCCTTTTTAATTTTTCAGTTCTCAGCCTATCACTTCTGAAAGCTTTCTCTGACTCCCAAAGTCCAGCTAAGACCTAGGGTCCTTTGAGGGAACCTTCTTATTGTATGACCCCAGAATAACACACATGCTGTTTTGCGATTGCCTCTTTCTTTTATGCATTCCACATCACATTCAGAGTTTCAAGAGGACAGAGATCTGGGACTAGGAATGTTTCCATCTCCATTATATATCCAGGCATGTTCAATCAATAATGGCTAAATAAGGGGGAAATGAGTGAATATGCACAGGGCACTGTGGGAGATAGTAAGAAGAACTAGGGCTATGTAGAACATAAAACTCAGCTATATTTATTACAGGTGTGTATGTTTGCTAATGGTGATATATAATTAAGAAAATAGCAGTTGACTTAAGATCCATGTAATCGCAAATCTGCCACATAGTTGAAAAGCCTTAATTCTTTCTAAATATAATTTAATTTACTGTCCATCTTAAAAGTGGGAATAATTGAGGAAAAGAAAAGTAAGCACATTAAATTATATATGTCAGTATTTTAAAAGAAAATCTACAGGTGAAAGATATTTTACTAAAATGTGTCCTTCACGGACTCAGGATATTTAAGGAATCAAATCAACTAAACAGAGGATTGCATTTTTCAGGACATGAATTATACAAGTCAGTCAACAGTTTATAAAATTTTACAAAATGCCCCCTAGTTGGAACAGCAGAAGTTTCTGAAGCAGTAGGATCTAGGGGCTTATTGAATATTCAAGACACAGAAACTTGCGAAGCAGAAACAGACGTCTGTTACCTGTCTAGTGTGAAGGCGTACATCTTGGTGGCTTTGTCATTCACAAGATAAGTTCTTTCGAGAAACTCCATAAGGGCTCTTGCTGTTGTGGTGGTGGTGGCTGCGGCTGCTGCTCTCTAACTCCCTGTCCAGTTTTGGACGCAAAGCAGCCTTACGATTCTTCACACAGTTTCCAAAGAAAAAATAACAAGGCTTCCGGGATTACAACAACAAGCCTCCCACATCAGTGTTCATGGTAGATGTGCTAAACTGATAGCCTCCGTGGACTGTCTCCTGGCCTTGTTCTCTCACCCACAGAAACTCCTTTCCTAGGGAGACTTGCACATAGGATCATGTGAAGTGTGTGTGTGTGTGTGTGTGTGTGTGTGTGTGTCTCATGCTCTCTGATTCCACTGCGCTTTCTGAGAGGTAGAGGAGCTCAAGGGTTACCTGCTAATTGCTGATGTAGGCGTCTGTTCTTCAGAGCACACCTGGCTGAGCTGCAAACAGCTACCTTTCTGTCCACTATTATTTTTTCTCTCTTCTTTTCCTTTCCTGTTTTTTTTTTTTTCCGGCAGGGGGTGGGGAGGTCTCTCAGCCTAAAAGCCTTTCTCCTGGGATTTAGTTCTAAAATGACCTCTAAGCAGCTGTCAAGATTTACTTCTCTTCTCCTAGGACCATTTGGGGATTTCACTGCCGAAGAGAGGACATGGGTCATTAGTTACTGAAGTCTGTAATCTGAAACAGCTCCTGGTGCGGCAGCTTTGAAACCCTTTTTGACAGGCAGGAGAAGGGCAATCTCAGCTTCTAAATAAATAACAGCCCTCGTTCACACAAGAACTGGTATGATCTGTGTTCTTCCTGGCCAGGGTACCCTCTGCTGAGGATAGAAGACTGGCCCCAGGAATCCCTACCAGGTAAACCAATCACAACTCTTAGAAACAGAGTCTTCAGAGTTGATCCCGAAAGACCATCAACCCCCACACTCTTATAGACTGACATTTTATTTCATTACAAAGGACTTTCCTTTCTGTATAAGAGAAAGGACGGTAGCCCAAGGACAACATTGCCCGGTTACACTGCAGGCACTTACTTGGGGGCCAAAGAGCATCCCAGACCTATACAGATGCACGCAGGGAGGGCAAGTGCCGGGTGAAGAAGAGGGCATAGACCCTCCGCTGCTGCGTCCTCATTTCCTTCTCTCTTCTAATGAGAAAACTCAGGAGTGTGGTCCTGGAGTATCCCAGTGGCCCAGCATCTTGGGAATTTGCCCACGCTGCTGAGCAGAGATCTCCCACGATGACCTAATAAAATAAATATTGTCTACTGGAAGGAGAGTGGGGGTCAATGGCAACTGAAGTAGGCAGTGAAGGGAGAAGTCACCTTTGGCTGAGAATGAGCATGTCTCGTCTCCTATCATATCTGCTGTGAAGCTGTACCTCTTGTTTATTTTAAGATTTCAAACACTCTCATCTATAACGTAAATTCTTAGTTCTTTTCATATTGGCTCCATTGCCTCCCTGATTGTTAACATTGCTCTGATAGATGGAAACTGGAGAAATAGCTCTGGAAGGCCATTTTTCCTTGCAGGAGAAATTCTGGGTTTAGTGTTGAAGTATTTCCTTCTCTTACATCTTTACTCTTAACTTTACAAAATGATAGGTTATTCTGTGGAGGCAAAAGTAGAAAACCAGAAAAGAATTACTAATCTATCATGTGATGTGTGACCATACTTGCCAGCTTGAATCATTTGTGAGTAGTTTCTAGCACATGTGAGACAAATAGAAGTCAAGTGAATGTGTGTCAAAAAGTGAAGAAACTGCTTACAGCCAGGCTGAAATCATAAGTGCAAAGAAGAGAAGTGTTATTCAGATGCAGGAAAGAGAATATTTCAACAGGGGAAAACAATCTGGAAGTTTGAGAACCCACACCACAAGCTTTGTCACTGTGCATATAGATGTCACTGTGCATATAGCACAGACACATTTATACCTATTTATGATTCTCTGAGTATGAACGTGCATACTAGGTTGTTGATGTGAATTATCTGTGAGGTGAAGATGTGTGAGAAAGGTAGGGTAGGACTGATGGAGACAGGGGAAGGGGAAGATGGGAAAAGAGGGGATGAGGACCCAAGCAAAAAAGGCCAAGAAAAAAATATATTCTATGATCTCTCCTGTTTATAAATTGAAGTATATAAAATTGGCCTAAAATCAGTAATTTCATATGGTTCTACTTAAATATATATGCACACACATATATATTTATAAAATGTATATATGTACATGTGTGATACATTTAAAAATAAAAAATTGAATGTGCATACTTTAAAAGTATTGGGAAATTAGGTACTATTTTCATCAAAGGTTTGTGAATTTCTGAGTGCTACCTTTGAAGATAACTTTACTATAAATCAAAGTTTCTGGTATTAGTAGCAAAAGAGCAGGAAACGGTAGCTTACAACAAATAAAACTTCTATATTAAAAAAGGAAGTTTTGCTGCTGCAAATTTAGATGTAGATAAATTTATGATCAAGAATTGCATGCACGTTATGTTATGTAAAATATTCATCCATTGACAACATTAGCTTATAAACCCCTTTTTAACTGCACCGTCATTCCCCTTCCCTCAATATTCTATCAGCACACAATTTATGAAAAATTTCCCATCTGCCCCGACTAACCTTTGGCCCACTTTGGCATATTCTGCTCACCAAGGGCTAATGGCCCAAATCAGACTCCACATGAGTCACAAAATATGTCTTTGGAAAGCAACACAGATCACAAAAGAAAATCCACTATATTGTTGACAGTCGATTTTAGTGGGCATTTTGTTGCTCATCCCAGTTTCCTAGGCAACCGGCTTCCAAACCATCCTGAATTACAGGTTGTCCTCTCCTCCCACTCTCCATCACAAGCTTGTAGCAACTGAAGGGGCAAAATGCAATTTATAACAGTTTCCTCTGGGAATAAATATTCTGTCAGCCAGGAAAAAGTAACTGACAAACCAAAGGTCTGGTTCTGCTCCCCACAGGTAGCTGTTGTTGGCAACAATTTCTTAATAGGATTTTACAAGCAGTAACTAATGTATGTGCAAAAATAATTCACACAGGTATCCTACACATGGTTTGCTGTTTCACTTGCAGAAGGGATGTGTGCATTTATGTAAAACCATTGTGATCATCCCTACGCACTAAAGTACTGAGTTCTCACGATTTGTGTTCCCAAAATTTAAACTCATATTTCAGGAATACTTCATGTTATCATTGTTTGTGTGTAACGATCCTTTAAAAAGACAAATGCAAATGTGCTTGTTTTCAAATCACAAATGTGGGTTTTCATCCTGTTTGTATCTTTCTCGTTTGTGTGTAGAGGCAGTGGGGTGGAGTGGTTTAATGTATGGGATTTCAAATTGGACAGACTTAGTTTCACTTTCTAGTTTGATCACTTTCTTTCATGTGTGACCTTGAACAAGTTACCTGACCTCTATGGTTTTCAATTTCTCATCTGTAAAATGG